TGTCTCTCGCTCTGATTCCAAGGAATCACTCCAAGAAGAACAGTCATATTATGATCCACTTTAGACAGTTTTTTGCCAAAGCTTATGCACCACTGAAACTGTCCGTGCACCAAGAGGAGGATGATTCAGGAGCAGAAACCTTGTAGGAAAGCCTTTGGGGTTTCCACCAGATTGCCGTCTGTGGTTGCTTCTGACACAGGGGGACTCTTTGTTGTAAAAATATGTGCACAGGGCTATGCAGAGGTGCAGTCTCCTTCTGCTGCCCTTCCACATGATATCTGCTTTCTATCCATAAAACACATGCTAGAAAATGTGCAGCTATGGTACCACACGGGGCCTCGAAACCCTCGTTGCCATGCTCAACCTCCTGCTTTCTATCTTGTCTCCACTGCAGAAGTGTCTGGGAGATGTTCGTGGTCGAACACCTATGAGTTTAAATCACACAGAGTTGCCTGAACTACTCAATCCTTAGAACATGCTCTCAGGGGACTTAATTCTTAATGGATTTATTTAGAAAAGCTTAGAGAGTTTTTCAATAGCAATACTGAAACATTTTGTTGCATGAAATCAGCAAAACAGCTTTATTGGTTCTGCTCCAGAGCTTTTATTTCTGTTGAAAATCATTTTACTTTGAGGGCCGTTTAATTGAAAGTGAGAAGTTATGTGTTTTTCTGCTGGATTGAAGGCACCCGAATCTGATGAGCAGCTAAATAAATCATGTTTCAGTAAGTTCAATCCTTTTTCTTTTTTTTCGCTACAACTGACCTATGGGCACAATTCCACTTTAAGCTCACACTTGCTTTTCTGCAATCCATCACTGACTGGCTTTCCCTGAAAATCTGTCTGAACTGAAAGTATGCTTCTGTTCCCAGAAAGAAAAAAAGTGTTCTTTGAAAACAAATAGTCCCCAGGTCAAGTTGCAGACTTCATTAGGTATTTTTTCCAGTTATCTGTTTTTAAAAATATTCCGTATTCAGTCAGCTCTGATAAGATTCCAACAGTTAAGCAAGCTGATGTTTTCACACCAGCAGATGTCGTTTGCACCTGCCATGGAGCACAAATACAGCTAAATCCCCAAAAGCCTATAAGATTTAGTGACATTTACTTCAAGGGTTTACATGTCTGAAATCATTGAAATGTGCTTACAGCTAGTGAATGAGTCATTTGCTGATATGTCTGTTTAGTGGTATTAGCCTAATTACAAAGAACTTGGGAAAGCCCTGAAGTTTTGGAGAAAAAAACCCTGCAATTCAGATAGCTGTTGTTCAAGCACAAGCTATTAATAGCAGGTGATTAGGCAGTGAAAAGGAAGTCTCAGATCTCCCTGAGAGGTTTGACTCTCACTCAGGATCTCAAAGAACTCCTGTTTCCGTAAAAAGACAATATCAATGTTCGGACAATTATTTTTTTTTCCATCTGAAAGACAAGATTTTTTTTTTTGCAGGATATAAAACCTATGGAACATATAGGTGTTATTATACACAGTTATTTGTTGTATTTTCCCCTTTATTGCTTTCTCTGCCCTCTCATTTGGATTAAAGGACTTCTAGGCTGAGGCTTGCTTGTGTAGCATGTATCTGATAGGAGGGCAAAACGGTGGTTCTTCACGCTCAAAATCATATTACGTTCATGCCTGCATAGATTGCAGTGCCTGTATAAACCATAATGTAACAAACCCTATGATGATAATCCATGATCAATGCATTAGAGAATAAAGCACTCAGATTACTAAATGAGATGCACACAACAGTTTTTTGACCATAGTACTTCGATGCCGTTTTCCGTATACGTCCTCCACACCCATTTCTCTTTTCACTAAATTAAGGGAAGATGACCCGAATATCATCTCCAATACGGGTTGTTAATGCTGTTCTGGCAGCTACATTGGGAAATAATAGAACATCTCTGAGGGGGGGCAAAAGAGCTAGTTCTGCAATGTCTTTATTATTTTTGAGAGGTATTCCTGGTTACATGAATTTCTGCAGAAGCTGAGTCCATCCTAGTTCAGAGCACATAGACTAGACCTACTATGTCTATCTATAGTGACAACTGAATTTCAGCCCTTTCTTTTTCTTTTTGTATTGAATAGAATGACTGTGACAACAGGGAGTTTTATCAATTACCATAATGATACACATGTGTTACTCACCCCACATATCAAGCATGTCCCAGTTTAATCATGTGACTGGGACTACTCACGTGCTTAAAGTAAAGCATGTACTCAGGTTCTTGGTGGATTAGGTAATGGGCAGTCTCATATATGCTGGGTGAAACATCACACTTGATCCTGGTCCTAGATACAGTGCAATAAAAACTGAGTGCCTAAATAGCATGTACTAGCCTGGGTCATGATCCACATTTTCAGAGAGTATTTAACTCAATAAGGCTACCCAATGAATCATGATTTCACAACCAGTTTTCTTGTCCTGCATTAGTAACTCCTAAGTTCTGGTATAATCTGAAAATGCACTACCTTCTAAAAATATCATATTGAATACAGGTGTTCAGAATTCCTAGATACTGTTATGATTTTATCACATTCTTTACATACTTCTGTAATTATGTTAAAATCAGTGTCAGTAAGGAGGAAAAAGTCACGTCTTTCCTTCCTCTTGCTTTCTATTTGTGTTCAATTTATCCACAGTGAATTTTTTATTCGTATTTAAAACTTTTTTTAATATATTTTATTTTTAGATGCATTAAACCGCACTTGAAATCATTTGCACTTGGTATCTATACCCTGGCAATAAGAGTACTTGGTAAGTCCGGTTGTACTCTTGGGTCTATTTTAGTATACTTCTCACTAATTGTTTGTCCTAGAATTAAACTTGGATTGTGAGAAAGAACAATGTCTAAATGACAAGTTAATATTATATGATTTAAAATACAAAAAAACAAACCCCCAAAAACCTAGGAAAAGAGAGGAAAGAGGAAGCAGCCTGATATTTCGTTGTATAACTGTCTTAGGTATAATAAAAATAAGCACTGCTAATGTCCATAGAGGTGGCAAATGATCCTTCAGGCTATGAAGCTAACATCAAAATTACTTCTTGTCTCTCCTTATACAACAATAAGCATAATGGAACAGCTATGGATCAGAATTTGTGAACATTTTTCAGGCATATTTTCATTAGTTTCTAAGGGAATTAATCTAAGTACAGGTGTGCCTGAGGGCAGGGTTCACTGCAGCCTTGTGCTAGAGCCACCCGTAAATTTTCTCTAAATCCAAGGGTACCATGAGATGGCAATGAACTGGAAACTCTAAAATCCTCTAGGTTTTCATAGAAAAGGTAATAGTTAGCAAAAGTCACTTGTTTAAATAGACCAGACTTCAATAAGCTGGATGAGGCAGATGAAGTGACATCAAAATCAGGGTTCACTGCAGCCTTGTGCTAGAGCCACCCGTAAATTTTCTCTAAATCCAAGGGTACCATGAGATGGCAATGAACTGGAAACTCTAAAATCCTCTAGGTTTTCATAGAAAAGGTAATAGTTAGCAAAAGTCACTTGTTTAAATAGAGCAGACTTCGATAAGCTGGATGAGGCAGATGAAGGGACATCAAAACAAGCTGCTGGCTGCTTTCTCACACCTTTGCAGGCCAGAATTTTCCCTCCAGTCTCACTTTCTCCTCCAGCAACCATGGGTGGCTTTCCAGGTTGCACAGAGTCCGCAATATCCCTATTAGTACCTGAAGAAGGGCTTTCCCTTTCCATCATCCAGTACAAGCACTGCAGTAGGTTTGCCCCTGCCACAGTAGGATCTCAGGGTACTTATAGCCCCACTGCAGGGTCCCAGCCCCGCTGTCTCTCTCCCTTCTCCCCCCAGCAATCAACACACAGGACACCCCCTACCCCCAAGCTGAACAAGGCTCCATTGCCCTCAAGAAAACCCCCTACCCCCAAGCTGAACAAGGCTCCATCGCCCTCAAGAAAGGAGAAGTATCTCCTTGGGTTTTTTTTGTTTTTTTTTTCCTGGAGAGGCCCTGCAGGGTGAGGAAACCAAGCCATGGCCAGGTCTCCTTCCGCTGACTTCCACGGGCTTTTTGATGTTCAGCGGCGTTTCCTCCCCACCCCGATTCCCCACAGGCAGGAAAGAGCAGTGTGTGCCTGGGCCACACCAGACACCACTTCTCAAACCAGCAAACACCGTGGAAGCGTCGTTGCTGTTGGAATGTGTTATTTAATGTTTTGCACAAACAGGTCTCTAGACCAGAACCGATCACCCCGGGAAGTAACCTTCTTGTCTCTATTTGTTTGTTAAATACATCCAGCGGGAATTCCAGCCCCAGTGTATTTCGGAGTGGCTATAGATACCACCTGCCTGAAATGGGGAAGCAAAAGATGTGGGGGAAGAGGAGCGTGCAGACTCTACGACTCCAGTGCACTAAGGTAACAAACAGCTCTTCTCCATTCGTTCTTTAACTTCTGTTCTTTAAACACATCTACACCTGGCACCGGTAGAAGAATTCCTGTCAGAAAATTTGAGTGAAAGTTTTGATGCCAAATGAACAAGTCTGACTAGCAATATTAACAATAATGCTCAGATTTTGGCATTCACTTTTGGTGTAGCCTCTTTTTTTGGGGGGTCGTAGTCATCTTATTTCAGTATCAGCTGGATATATTTGGCAAAATATTTGCCCAAAAAATGTTCAAGTTAAAACTTCAATTTTGTGCTAAAGCTTTCCCCTTTTTTTAACAACTCTGCTGTAACAGTGTGTATGTGTAAGTAAATAGATAATAAGTAAAAGGGTTGTTAAACCTCATCGTTGCTCCTTGTTGGAGCTGGACCACAAAAAGGAAGGGAAGGGTGCCACAAAGCATGCTTGGCTCATGTACTAGCCTGGGTCATGATCCACATTTTCAGAGAGTATTTAACTCAATAAGGCTACCCAATGAATCATGATTTCACAACCAGTTTTCTTGTCCTGCATTAGTAACTCCTAAGTTCTGGTATAATCTGAAAATGCACTACCTTCTAAAAATATCATATTGAATACAGGTGTTCAGAATTCCTAGATACTGTTATGATTTTATCACATTCTTTACATACTTCTGTAATTATGTTAAAATCAGTGTCAGTAAGGAGGAAAAAGTCACGTCTTTCCTTCCTCTTGCTTTCTATTTGTGTTCAATTTATCCACAGTGAATTTTTTATTCGTATTTAAAACTTTTTTTAATATATTTTATTTTTAGATGCATTAAACCGCACTTGAAATCATTTGCACTTGGTATCTATACCCTGGCAATAAGAGTACTTGGTAAGTCCGGTTGTACTCTTGGGTCTATTTTAGTATACTTCTCACTAATTGTTTGTCCTAGAATTAAACTTGGATTGTGAGAAAGAACAATGTCTAAATGACAAGTTAATATTATATGATTTAAAATACAAAAAAACAAACCCCCAAAAACCTAGGAAAAGAGAGGAAAGAGGAAGCAGCCTAATATTTCGTTGTATAACTGTCTTAGGTATAATAAAAATAAGCACTGCTAATGTCCATAGAGGTGGCAAATGATCCTTCAGGCTATGAAGCTAACATCAAAATTACTTCTTGTCTCTCCTTATACAACAATAAGCATAACGGAACAGCTATGGATCAGAATTTGTGAACATTTCTCAGGCATATTTTCATTAGTTTCTAAGGGAATTAATCTAAGTACAGGTGTGCCTGAGGGCAGGGTTCACTGCAGCCTTGTGCTAGAGCCACCTGTAAATTTTCTCTAAATCCAAGGGTACCATGAGATGCCAATGAACTGGAAACTCTAAAATCCTCTAGGTTTTCATAGAAAAGGTAATAGTTAGCAAAAGTCACTTGTTTAAATAGAGCAGACTTCGATAAGCTGGATGAGGCAGATGAAGGGACATCAAAACAAGCTGCTGGCTGCTTTCTCACACCTTTGCAGGCCAGAATTTTCCCTCCAGTCTCACTTTCTCCTCCAGCAACCATGGGTGGCTTTCCAGGTTGCACAGAGTCCGCAATATCCCTATGAGTACCTGAAGAAGGGCTTTCCCTTTCCATCATCCAGTACAAGCACTGCAGTAGGTTTGCCCCTGCCACAGTAGGATCTCAGGGTACTTATAGCCCCACTGCAGGGTCCCAGCCCCGCTGTCTCTCTCCCTTCTCCCCCCAGCAATCAACACACAGGACACCCCCTACCCCCAAGCTGAACAAGGCTCCATCGCCCTCAAGAAAGGAGAAGTATCTCCTTGGGTTTTTTTTGTTTTTTTTTTCCTGGAGAGGCCCTGCAGGGTGAGGAAACCAAGCCATGGCCAGGTCTCCTTCCGCTGACTTCCACGGGCTTTTTGATGTTCAGCGGCGTTTCCTCCCCACCCCGATTCCCCACAGGCAGGAAAGAGCAGTGTGTGCCTGGGCCACACCAGACACCACTTCTCAAACCAGCAAACACTGTGGAAGCGTCCTTGCTGTTGGAATGTGTTATTTAATGTTTTGCACCAACAGGTCTCTAGACCAGAACCGATCACCCCGGGAAGTAACCTTCTTGTCTCTATTTGTTTGTTAAATACATCCAGCGGGAATTCCAGCCCCAGTGTATTTCGGAGTGGCTATAGATACCACCTGCCTGAAATGGGGAAGCAAAAGATGTGGGGGAAGAGGAGCGTGCAGACTCTACGACTCCAGTGCACTAAGGTAACAAACAGCTCTTCTCCATTCGTTCTTTAACTTCTGTTCTTTAAACACATCTACACCTGGCACCGGTAGAAGAATTCCTGTCAGAAAATTTGAGTGAAAGTTTTGATGCCAAATGAACAAGTCTGACTAGCAATATTAACAATAATGCTCAGATTTTGGCATTCTCTTTTGGTGTAGCCTCTTTTTTCTGGGGGTCGTAGTCATCTTATTTCAGTATCAGCTGGATATATTTGGCAAAATATTTGCCCAAAAAATGTTCAAGTTAAAACTTCAATTTTGTGCTAAAGCTTTCCCCTTTTTTTAACAACTCTGCTGTAAGAGTGTGTATGTGTAAGTAAATAGATAATAAGTAAAAGGGTTGTTAAACCTCATCGTTGCTCCTTGTTGGAGCTGGACCACAAAAAGGAAGGGAAGGGTGCCACAAAGCATGCTTGGCTTATCTAGAGGCTTAAGTGCAGTGTTGTCTTTATCAGCTTATTGCTAGAGGAGAATAATAATCTGAATGGCATTGATGAAAGGCATTACCAGGAATGGAGAATGGAATAATAATGGTAAAAGGGAAATGAGAAGACAGGTTGCCGTTCCCCCCACCTCCAGGAAAACACATGAGGGGAGGGTGCATCTTGTTTTGAAAATTTGAAGAAAAGAACAAAAGCTCATTTGGGACTCATTACTAATAAAGCATAATGATGTTATTGTTGCGGCTGTTGTTGTTACTGCCATTATGCCTGTAAAGCAAAAATACCATCAAACGGACTTGGTATCACTGGTGCTGCTTATGAGGCAACCAAAAATAAATTGATTGCCCTAGAAATATTAGCGTTATTCTCACTGAAGCACATTTGTGGTGGAGGAGGTCAGTTAATTACTGACACGTTTTCTTGGCCACCAACCACACAACACCCGACCTGGTGAGTTGGCAAACTCTCATCTCCAGCATCATGGCCTTGCTTGAAGATTTTTCTTAATCAGCCTTACCGCATGAAAATATGAATGTGTCCTTGATTCCTTCTTAGTCGTATGTTGCCTTTGAAATAGGCTCTGATCAACCATTTCTCCCTCAGGTATGTGTACCTGGGGCTGACTTTGGTGTTGGGCACGGTGTCCATTTTCTTCAGTGTTGCTGTCCTTTGGGTTCTCCGGAAAAGGTCTTCTCCACAAGAAGAGACCCTCTCAGCCAACGGGGAGAGAGGCACCTGTGGGACAAAGAGCAGGAAAGATAATTTTGTCAATAGTGACCATTTAATTCAGACAACTTACTGGCCAGAAAAGGAGACTAGACTTTAGAAAGACTGAGATCTCCACTGTGACTCTACCCAGTGAGTGGTGTTCCAGGCAAAAATTCATTATCAGTGAAGTGGTATCCTAGTATCCACCTTGAAAATGTTCACCTTCATGTTATTTTCACTGTAAACGCCAAAAGCAAAGACAACCATTTTAGCACATGTACAGCTCTGAAAACACTGCTCACCGTTTGTCCTGAGGAGTCAGTGCCATTCGAGTGAGGGGATTTGTTATGAGTGGGGAGATGCTCCCTCCCCGAGAAGCTGGTTTCATGGCTGCCCCTGGGCTCCATCCCTCCTCGTCAAGCTGCAACTCTTGCTGCTGCCCTTCAGCTTCCTTCTGTGTTTGAGGGGTAGTGGGGAGGCTGCAAATGCAGCTCCGTCTGCAACAGTACCAGCCTGGGAGGGTCTGGTGCACAAAACCCAACTTGGAACCCAACCTGGAAGATGCAGGGATATTCTGCACATAGCTTGCCCTTGCAAGCAGTGTGGCACGGGGCAGGAGGAAGGTGGGTTTTTGGAAGGAAAAATCAACTACAGGTTCTGGGCATCTTATGAATTCAACCCATAACACTTAGGACATCAAATGTTGTGGTTAGGGATTTTTTTTGTTTCAAGTAGCTCTGTTATAGCACAATAACAGCAATAAAGGTTGTTATTGCAGTCAAAGAGACCACAGAGTATCATCCAAAGGAAATAAAAATAGAGCTTTTCTTAGGTTTCCAGCAGTTTCTGTTACTTTCTAGTATTTGGTGTACTGAATAATTCCACGCATTTTATGCAATGTAATAACGAGATGATATGAGATACATATGATTTATTTTTTAAAAAACTATGACAAGACAGTTTGGGAACAATAAAATGAGTTCAAAGACCAGGTGATTTGGGACTTTTCCTTTTAATTTACTGTATTTTCTAGCTGAAACTTAGACATGTATCATAGTGTCCTTGTATGTATCGTTTCTGCAGTTTGACAATATTTGGTATTAAATAAATTTGGGGTGGGGAGTAAAATGGAGAGCTGTTTAGCGTGGAACAAAAATCTCAAGAATGCTCGTGTTGAAAAAGATGGTGATAGAACCACTACAAACGGTGTCCTTTAAAGCAACTAGAATTTTAGAGCACATGATGAAAGGTAGGCTTCATCCTTTGTCATAATATTGGAAAAAGCAATGCCATATCATGTCACTTACCTCCCAGCAGTGACTGTAGGTACCCTAGCTGAGTTGCAGTTCAGAGATAGATGTGGAGCCTTTCCTGTGCGATGCATGAGGAGAGGCAGATGTATAAGAATGAGATTTACTGAGCTTTATCAATGACAAATGTTTACAGTGTGCTACTAGGGAATGACCTAGTCCATTCAATAGGAATCCCAGGAAGAAGAATGTTGCTTAAGCATCAAATAACTGCAGAAGGTAAGGATTTAAAGCCATCGCTTGAGAAAATGCAGTTGTCAGAGGAAGGACCAATGCCACCCACCATTTGCCATGTGAGTGAGTGTCCTGGAATATGGGAGACCCGGTCCCCTGTCCTTCCAGGTGAGTGTTGAAGGCTACAGGCAATGGGTACTGGGAAGCTGTGGCTGTTCACTTTGCCTTGTATAACTGAATCCTGAACTAAGCAAACAAAATTAAAATAATTATAAGGTTTGTGAGCATGGGACTAACTGAAACATTATGGCTAGGGTAAATCATAAAGATTGGCATTCCGGTCTCAGGTTTCAGTCATACTACATCATCATAAAAACAGCAAAAAAATGCCAGACCACATCAGCATCCAGGACCAAGAGAGATGCTTGGAGCCTTCCACAGCCTCCTTGGGAGGGCACTTTTCATAGCAATGAGCTGCCAGGTCCAGTGAGAGAAAGGGACAACCCAACTTAAGTACACACTGGAATAAACAAGGAGGGATATCTGCATTTCGTTCAATGCTTGTTGTTTTATGTGTGTCAAATAAATGAGGATGATTCCCAATTTGCGAATCAGTCCTGGCAGGGTTTGTGGCGGGGACACTGCTGCTCAGCAATAATGAAGCTGTCACAGACACAGTTCTGCACGTGCCTGGCAGCAAGGTGAACAGGAAAATTCACTGGCTTACAGGACAAAGAAAGAAATTAAGAGAAATAAACATACCCTACTGTAATTCAGGAACAAACAGGGGAAAAAAATCAACATCTTGGGTTAACACCTGAGCTTATGTATGTAAACCTGTGCTTAGTGACTAATTCTTCTACAGTATGGGCTTTTTTTTCCACACTGCATTTTCTTTGCACATGAAAGGAAGAGCACTACTATGAAAGAATTTGTTTCAGTAAGTTTTATTTTCATTATGTTTTTAAAATGAGCACTCTTTTCCTCTCACACTCCAGCAATAATAATACTGTAAGTTACCAAGCAGATATACTCTATTCCCACTTTGAAATACTTTCAAGTCTGCTACTTTATTTTACTGCTTCAAGTAGTAATGAGGATGCATGGGTGAGTGTCTGACTGAGATACATATTCTGGATTTGTTATAATAGATGAAAAAAATTGTTTTAGCAGTAAGGGATTTGGACCTGTCAGGTTCTTTCTACCAGAATTCTTCATTGGTGGATGAGAAGCTCAACATGATATGGCAATGTGCACTGGCAGCCCAGAAAGCCAACCGCATCCTAGGTGGCATCAAAAGAAGCGTGGCCAGCAGGTCGAGGGAGGTGATTAGGCCCCTCTACTCTGCTCTTGTGAGACCCCACCTGGAGCACTGTGTCCAGCCTTGGAGTCCTCAGCATGGGAAGGACATGAATCTGTTGGATGGGTCCAGCAGAGGGCCATGAAAATTATCAGAGGGGTGGAGCACCTCTCCTATGAGGACAGGCTGAGAGAGCTGGGGTTGTTCAGCCTGGAGAAGAGAAGGCTCCGGGGAGACCTTATAGTGGCCTTTCAGTACCTAAAGGGCGGCTACAGGAGGAGGGACTCTGTATGAGGGAGTGTAGCAATAGGAAGAGGGGTAACAGATTTAAACTGGAAAAGGGTAGATTAAGATTAGATATCAGGAAGATATTTTTCACTGTGGGGGTGGTGAGACACTGGAACAGGTTGCCCAGAGAAGCTGTGGATGCCCCATCCCTGGATGGGTTCAAGGCCAGGCTAGATGGAGCTTTGAGCAATCTGCTCTGGTGGGAGGTGCCCCTGCCCAGGGCAGGGGGGTTGGAACTCAATGAAATTTTGCATGCAGAAGTCCAACAGGAGTCAAGGTAGTTATAGAAAAGAAAATGCCATGTGAATCATTAGGTACCTGACTTCATCTCCTGGTTCTGCTCAAGATTTCTCTTATATTTTGAAACTAATTGGCTATTGGGAGAGTAGTAGACATATGATACATACTGCTGACTCTCTCCCTTAGTATCCTCTCTTGGCTACTGCCTGACAGGGCTTTGAGGGTACCAATGGCCCTGACCTTCCTCCTCTGGGACCCACTTCCACCTCTGACCGTGGGCCCCAGAGCCCCATTTCAGCTCCAGCCTCCACACACGGGCCTGATTTGAGCCATTTTGGAGGTTTGTATGTGCTGAGCCCTCCCCCTCACTCTTCCTGAATTGTTGTTTGGGTTTCCAGGCATTGTTCTAGGGCCCAAGTTCTTAACTTGCTTTTGGCCGATGGTCACTGGCCTGATACTGGGACCAGTGGCTGTTGCTGCCTCGGCTCTGCTGACCCTGATGAGGTGTTGGGTGTG